CTTTCAAAAGTGCTCCCAGACCAAATGATAACCTTGGAATCTAGCCCCACAGACACTAAAATTGAAGAATCCGCGGACCAGCCAACGTCCTGAACGTCGTTATCATGTCCTGCCAATCTTCTATAGGTCCTCCATGTCTCAGCGTGGGGAGCTTCGTTGGACCCAAATAGTGGGCGGGACTGGGGAACCGCGTTGACATCTCGTTCGTAGACAAGAACAATTTTATCATCGGAGCCCGAAGCAAGGTATCGGTTGTTGCCGGAGAAACGAACTGTCAAAACAGCGCCTGAGTGGTGAGAAAGAGAGCATAGCTGTCGGGGACGAGTGGGAGCTTCATTATCGTCTCCGGTAACAGATGCCTTGATGGCTGCGGTGGACCATATGCGGACATTGCCGTCTATAGCAATCTTGTCAGCTTGAAAACAAGCTTATGGCTAAACGGTACAAAACATACCCAGACCCCCAGTCGCTAATCTTTCTCCGTCGGGAGAGACATGGCAAGAGTAAACTTCAATCGGCTTTTTATCGGCTAGGGAGCAGGGCGGGAAGAAGTTAATAGAGCTTGATAATTGGACGAAGAGACAAGCAGAGCTTGAAAGCACGCGTTTGATCGGAAGATCTGTAGGACATACCAGCAGAGTGAGTTAGCCACTGGGGCCGGATGAAGTGCATTGTAGTTTATGCCTTTTTGAATCTTCTAGCAGCCGTTCATGGGACGAGACAACTTCAAGACGCGTGGTGGATGAAGTGATGATGGGTTTGGTTGTAACAGAATGGTGGTGGAAGCAGTTGGGACGCAAGAGACAACTGTAGTTGAAGAGAATGCACTCAGTAGACAACAACGGTTGGAAGCCGTGGACGGGAACGTGTCGCGGTTTGCAAGGATGCTGATGCCAAATTATGCGACTGTAACAAAGTGAATATTACGCTAAACACCCGCTATAGACGCCGTAAGACTTGGCACGTATCACTAAGCGCTTATCAGTATCACATGATAGCAACATGGATGCTGTTTCTTGGCATGGGACTGTTGTTTGACTGAATAGGAAAAGCCCCACTCCCCACAGCCCACAATTCCTCAATTCTCCTCCTCCACCAAAAATTATCTCGGTAAGCAGCAACATCACCAATTAATCTCGACAACCCTCGACAACCCTCGACAATTAACACCATCTCACAACAAAACAGCAGCAAAAATGGGCGCTCTCAAGTACGTCGAGGAAATCCAGAAGAAGAAGCAGAGTGACATCCTCCGCTTCCTTCTCCGTGTCCGCTGCTGGGAACTCCGCTCCCTCAACGTTGTTCACCGTGCTTCTCGCCCATCTCGTCCCGACAAGGCTCGCCGTCTCGGGTACAAGGCCAAGCAGGGATATGTCATCTACCGTGTCCGTGTTCGCCGTGGAGGACGCAAGAGGCCCGCTCCTAAGGGAGCCACCTACGGAAAGGTTGATTGATTCCATCGATGGTTGAATGATAAAGCTCGGAATTGAATTGCTGACTTTGGTGTTTTTCTCCAATCTAGCCTACCAACCAAGGGTTAGTCCTGAGTTCCCTTTTCTCGTTGCTATCTTCATTGATAAAGGAGACTTGGAACTTCAGAGACATTTGGAGTCCGGATTTTCTTATCGGCGAATGATAAAGGAAATGATTATTTGGAAGAATCTTGAAAGAAGCTAATCACACTAAAACAATTTAGTATCAACCAGCTCAAGTACCAGCGTTCGCTCCGTTCCACCGCTGAGGAGCGTGTTGGAAAGCGCTGCGCCAACTTGCGTGTATTGAGTTAGTAAACCCCTCACACAACAGCGCCTGCAGTATCAATTCGATTACTGCTATTCGTCATCCGTCACTAACATTTTCTAGACTCCTACTGGATCAACCAGGACTCGACCTACAAGTACTTTGAGGTCATCCTCGTCGACCCCCAGCACAAGGCTATCCGCCGCGATGCTCGCATCAACTGGATCGTTAACCCCGTCCACAAGCACCGTGAATTGCGCGGTCTCACCTCCACCGGCAAGAAGTCCCGTGGTCTCAACAAGGGTCACAGGTACAACAAGACCACTGCTGGAAGGAGAAAGACCTGGAAGCGCCTCAACACCCAGAGCTACTGGAGATACCGTTAAGCGTAACGTACCCGCCTTTATTGACGGGTTTGTGCGCGAGATGGTTGTGGCTGTTGGGAAAAATCTGGCTTGTCTTTTTTTTGTTCTTGTTGTAAGGTATCTAAAAATTAGGGCATGCATGATTTGATGGGTTGGATCTTTTTTTTTTCTCAAGAGGGTTCAGGAATACAATATCTTCTGTCCTCAGGAATGGCGTTCGGGTTGGGATGCTTATGCAACATCTTTTGAATTATCACCAACACGTTTGCTTCCGTTCATGAAATCAAAAATCCATAAAATGTGAGCCTTGTGTATCAATAAATAATGATAGATAATAAGTAGGCAAACGTCGGACAGTAACAGACACCATCAGGTTCGTTGATGTCATTCTACAGATATGACTAAAGCGGTGATGAATAAAGATCTTACTTCTTACGTCTAAGCAACCTAAACTTATAACTTATTGTGAACATTGTCGGTGTAGAAATGTTTCGTATGTCTCTGTCAACGTCTTTTAAAACGACTATACACCTGTCTTCGGTGTGAGGCGGCGTATATATCGCCGAAGACGCATCAGAAAAGTACATTTAGATCCCGAGGGCCCTCCCTCGCCCTCTGTCTCCCAGATAGTTCCCTCGGGTGCGCGTGTCCAGTCCTAGGCTACACTGTGTAGCTAGTAGCTCCGCAGTCTGTAGAGAACTATCGGTGTTACCGATTCATCAAGTGGTGCAGTGTCTCTTCTAACCGTGTTTAATACCTGGCATCTGAGTTCGAATCTGATCAGGCCTCTCTCTAGTCTAATTAGGCTTAAAATTGAGGGAATGGGTAGATATCTCCAACCGGGAAGTGGGCAAGGAAAAATTCGACAATGGAATATGAATTGTGGTTTAACTGTAGGGATAATTCGAGTGACGCGGAGGCTCCAATACTGTTCTTAGGTACGCTTCGAAAACTTTCGTTGAGCCTATCATTGTTTGCTTTCTAGGTGAACATGATGGGTTATGCTCATTTGCAGGAGGTTGAGACTTTGTAAACAGATGTTGACAATTAATATATACATATACATGTATGTATTTACTCGCGTTAATTATGTAAGATCTGAGAAATTTTGTGACCAAGAATTCTCAGGACTTAATTAATGCGTGAGTATTAGGCGCCTTTTACAGGAAATAACGCCCCTGTGTAAACCATAAGCAAGCGTTTAATGGGTCGGGCGAGTTTTTGTAACGGGACCAAAATCTGGATTATACGAGTAGCTTAACCAAACCCTCCGAACCGAAATCATCATTAAAATTCGGGCCCAGCAACTTCAGTGACCTTGGTTATAATTACCTATAGCGAACATAGTTGTTCACTTTTCCATTCATAAAATCTCACTCGGTACCTTATTTTCGATGCTGTCGTTCAAGCTAGTAAGGTCACGGTGTCGAATACTAAAGAACCCGCTGTCAAGAGGAATGGTGTCCTATCCGGGTTCTTATAAGATAGCTTGTATTGGTCTTAGACATCGATAATAATTGAAGCTTTAAGACCCGTCCCACTTTCAACAGGTCCACTACTAAAGCGAGACTTTGTCACGTACCCGGATTAATCTACACAGTAACTCTATATTAGAGAGCACTTTAATTCATCCTGTATTTCGAGCTCTACGCTAATCGTATTTGATGAGGCATTTATCAAAACAAGCCTGACTGTTAATGGGGATAGTAACTTCATCATAGATTTCAACCAAGCCAGCGTCGGAATTCTCACTAAACCAATTGATAAGTAATAAGTATATGCATACGTGAGGTCTGAAAGCTCAAGAGGATCAGGGCAGCGCGTATCCACCTTGACTACGCAGTTAATAGACTCTAGTGACACTGCTTGATCTATTCATGCATTGCAAGAGACTACGATCTAAATCCTTTGTTAACAAATCAATTCTTTTCAGGAGTATATATAATGCTGGTAAGATCAACCTCGGTCTATAAAGATTGCTTATAAACTACAATACGGGAAACCCGGGTGTGATTAGAGCCGTACAAGTTTTGCAGGTTTAAAAGTGACGTAGTAAAACCATATTAACAAAGACACCGACTTTTCAAAGAAATGCATTTCTATAGAAGCACTTTTTTTGACATATAGTGGAGAACTGGTGTTCTTCAAAAAGGGTCATTTTGGTCACAAGCTGTTTTTTAGAAAAAAGCGGGGTTTTAGAAAAAGCCGTACCAGTACGCCTTTAATATACCATTAAAATACCAAAATATTCAAAAGCATAGTAGGGGTCTGAAAACTAGCAGGTCTCCGATATACAATTGAAAACTAATACAAGTAGTAGGTGTTCTGAAGATTCCTCTTGTACATGTGTATGTTGAGGTTGAAATCGACTTCAAGATAGAATTACAATTTGGCAATTCCATCGATGGCATGATGAAATCAAAGCGAGGGGGGTTGAGGGATGAGTCTACATGAGTATGTATGTATATACATGATATGAGTGTTGTGGGTACGGGCACATGTGTAGGTCTAGCTTGAGCTCGTACTTCCCTGGGTACGAGACTACATGCATGTAGGTCTAGCTTAGTACCATACCCTGATACTAGCGCGGTCACAGAACTCAATTGTGTGACCAGCTAGCTAGCAGTATTGGTACGGCTTTTTTGAGCATACCGTTCTTTTGGGATAGCGTATTTGCATGAAATAACCTTTGTTTGCAATTATAGTATTCATATGAATACCGAATTAAACCGAGCCGAATGAGCAAGCTTAATGCTCATAAAAGCCGCATGACTACAAGACTACTACTACTCTAATCACACCCCATTTTCCGCCATTGTAGGTAGTATAAGATCGGCAGATCCAAACTAATATATACTCCAGCGCTCCAAAACGACCATACCAGACCGCCGACACCTACTCTCCAAAATCCGGCCTCTGCACCGTCGCCCCATCCCTAAACTTCACCCGCTCCAAAAAGGCCCTCGTAAAATCCTCCCTACCCCCCGTCGACAGCAGCTCCAGAAATCGCTTGTTCCCACAAAGCGAGCCCAGCTTACACGCCGCACAGCCCGCCAGATACTCCACCAGCGGATCAACCCCGCCCCCCCCGGCCCGCTCGGGAAGATTATCACACGCGTATCTCACCAGGTCAACATACACATCAGCAACCCAAGTTGACCGACCTCTGTTTTCTAGTTTTTCAATCATCTCATTGATATTCCAATAAGCTCGGCTTTTCAGGCGCGGGATGTTGTACATGTCCCCGAGGACGTAGAGCTTTGCGTGTGGGACCAGTGTTCGAATTCCGACTCTGGGTTCGATTTTAGGTTCGGTGTCACAAACAAAAACCTCCCCACACACCTCCCTCATCATCATCGCGTCCCACTCCCTCCGGTCCACCTCCGCCTCCTCCTGCTCCTCCTGCTCCTCCTGCTCCTCCTCCTCCCCAGTTCCATCTCCATCTATGATATCGTCGGCGAATTCTGAATATTCCCCCGTATAGCAAAACTCCAGAAACTGGCACATTGTCTGCGGCGTCACATGCTCCATCTCCATGCAGTTCTCGCGGCCCTCCTTCATATCGTTGAAGACGTGACTCTTAAGCGCGGGCGATATCTCGGCGAGGAGCTGCTTGTGCACGTGGAAGGGCTTGCGGGACTGACCAGCGAAGAGGGTGAATATTTCGGAGTCGATGAATCTGCGGGGTGAAGAAACGGGGGTCAGATGGCATATGTGATATGTACAAGCTTGCGGGTGGTGGGGCTTAAGATTAAGATTAGAAGTACCTGGCATACGTATATGGGAGGTTTATGCCCATGTTTTGTTTGGAGATTGTTGCAGACGGGAGATGAAACTGATATGGGTGTTCTTTATTCTGGTCGTAGGTTTCTTCTTCTTATGTAGAATTAATGTATGTATGTACTTGCGGCGAATAAGTTTGCGCCAAATTTGTACGTGAAAATGCGGTTGCAACACAAAAGTAGTGGCGGAAACTTATTCTCGCAGCAGGTACATGTAGATCTGGTTGCCTGATTTTGTTCAGATATCTATGGTGCGCCCAGTCTTAAAGGTGACACGGCGTATTTGGAAGTGGAACAATCGTGGCTGAGATTCTAACTAACCCTAACTACTGAGCCAATCAGGGGGCCTATATCTCCCTATGTAGCCACTTTCCTGCATTCCTGCCACAGGTGACACTTTTGGGGAGTATAAATGAGTATAATACCGTTCCACTCTGTTCATTCTTGGCGCTTTTTACATAGAAAAACCCAACTTTTCAATTCCCTAAGGCTTTACAACCATAATCGATATCAAAAGTGTGTCAGGTCATTTTGTTCTTCATCATTGTCTCTAGCTTTTGTTCCAACAGAGTTTTGATATCTTTTGTGGTGGTAAAGTTATAAGCGATTGAATTTCCATACCCTTTAAGATTGAGCGCACCATACATACCGGCCCCAGGTGTGCATATGCCAAGAGTAACTTGCATAATGCGATATGTTCATGAGGTATCACTCGGGCGGGCAAAGCTGCTATGTCCGAGTTTTTTTTGTTGCTGTTAACTCATTGGTTGCATGTATATTGCTATGGCAGTATCTGACCTCTTGTCCGGCCCCAGAAACTCCCTCGAGCCTCCACTGCTAGTCCCTCCTCACACAAGAAGCACCCGATCGCTACCCTGGCTACATGTATTCTACGACGTGTCTCTCTGGCCGGACGGGGTGGTTATTGCGAGATGACGTTCGAGTATCTCCACGTGATAGGTTTTGAAAGAGGGCGCGCCGTGCTGGCTTGGGTTGGTCGGTCGAGTGATTATGTGTGACGGAAATATTCATGGATCATCACTCGGCTCGGAGAAAGCTTCATTACTGATGAGAGGAAGACCTGGACGGAGAGATGAGCGATGGTATAGGCATATGTACATCCTTACATGTAAGTGATCGAAAGTGTCCCAAATAGTTGGGGGGGGGGGGGGGGGCAAACGATAAGAAACGTTCTAACTGGTCCACCACTCTGGCGGCCTGTCCGGATTGATCTCGATTAAGAGCGTACCACATAAACCCATAAATACCCAGCAACATCTCTCCAAATCTCTACCTTTCAAACCCCCACACTCAAACCACCCCTTCCCCCCCACCCACACCCACCCGCCCCTCTCTTCCCAACAACCCAACCCAACCCAACCGACCCCTGCCAAGCCAAGCCATCCACCCAACCAGGGCAAGGGTTCCCACCACCGATTAGATAACACAACCTCACCTCACCTCACCCAAACCTCACACACACCCCACCACTAGCAGCCCGTCCATCCACGCACCAATGTCCACCTCCCGCCCCGCCGCCGCCCCGGCCGCCGCCGAGCCCGCCGAGAAATCGTTTTTCGAACGTACGTGCGCACCCCACTGAGTGAGGTGTGGTGGATGGATGGATGGATGGATAAGCTAGCTAACACACACCGGGACACCAGTGCAGCGCGACCAGCTGGTCAGTGAGATTGCGCTGTCGCTCGAGCATGTGCTCATGAATATGAATGTGCTGAATCGCTCGCTGGAGGGCGTGATTGCTGTGAGTGTGCCTGTCTGTCTGTTGCGGTGGGGGGTGAGGGCTAATTGGGGTGGGGTGTGTAGGTCGGGAAGGAATTCGAAAGCGTCGAGGCGCTGTGGTCGCAGTTTGAGAGCGTGATGGCCAAGAACCCGGAGGAGACGAAGGGCGCGGAGGAGGGCGAGGGGGACGAGAGTACGGTTATGTATGAGGGGCTACCGAGGGGGGTTGGGAAGCGGTGATGGCTGGTTACGGGGGGGGTCTGCTGTTGGTGGGTTCGTACGTAGGCTGGCAGCAATTATTATTTATTTTGCTAGCTACATAGCTGCGGCCTATAGTTCCTAAATTGGGTTACTTGGTATAATCTTTTGTTTTGACCTTGGTTTTTTTTTTTATTTTTCACGGTAGGATTGTTATTGTTTATTGCTTTGTGTAGCTAGCTACATGTAATAGAGGGGTTTGGTTTAACATTCAAACAGGTAGGAAAACAAAAAGCGATTGCAGACTTTTTCACAAGTATATGTAGTTAGAGCTAGAGATATATCCCTAGCCCTCTTACCTCTAGCTAAGCAGACAAATGAAGCGCATGTAAAATGCCGTAAAGATACTCACCATATCTTCCTGCGGAGACCACTTACCACACTCGTATCTCCCCGCAAACCCCCTACAACCCCACTCCCAGAAAGAAGCAAATGATCGTGACGAAACTTGCGAGCACAGCGCCCGCTAGCAGTCCCAGCGGCATCATCAGCCCCAGCATCCCCATCGATGTTAAGAACGCAAAGAAGCCGCCCGCGGGCGTAAACGCGCCATACGCATATGCCTGGAACCCGGCCGCAAGACTGCCTATAGCGGGCGTCAGTTTTTCCGCACCACCACCCAGGAGTATAATAGAATAGACGCACCGGCAACAACCCCCGCGGGCCCGAACCCCACAACCACAGTCAACAGCTGGACAACCACCACAATCGACACCCAGATAATCATCAACCTAATCGCCTCTACGCACCCTCAAACGCACCCCATTAGCACCCACAACCCACACCCAAGAACACCCAGAAAGAAAAACACCCACGCGGCCCAGTACACCACACCAAGAAGCTCTCAAACACGGACCCCACCGCCGCCACCACCGCCGAGATCTTCTCCCACCACCCACCCCACCCGCTGAACGCCATCACAACCCTCGCCCACAGCTCGCCCAGCCACTGCCCGAACCTCGCCACATAGCCCGGCTCCAGCTCCGAGTACCACACGGTGACGGAGTCCGCAACGTCGTGGGCGACCTTGACGCTGTGGCCGGCGTAGCCCTTGAGCTGCTCGTCCTCGAGCACCGCTTGGGCGGCCTCGGTGCCGCGCTTGGCGAGGTTGCGGGTGGTGTCGCTGAGGAGGGCTTGCTTGAGGCCCGAGGTGTCGTCGAGGGAGTGGTACCAGGCTGCGAGGCGGCTGGCGAGGCCTGAGGCGGCGGGTGCGGCGGCGGCGGCGGTGGTGGTGGAGCGGGTGAGGAGGTTGTGGGGGAGGACGGGCATCGTGTGTTGGTTTTTGGGGTTGTGGGGTTTGGAGGATTAATTGATTGATTAGTTCAGAGATTGATGAACCCGAGGTGGAGAGATATGGTAGAAAAGAGGGGAGGAGAGGGGGGAAAGAAAGGAAGAAAGAAAGGAAGAAAGAAAGAAAGGGACTGTTTTGCAGTAGGTATATGTATTCTAGAGTAGGCTGCCCGCACAGACTGAATGTCCGGCTGCTTCCTGATTTGGTTTGGACGGGTCGGGTGCGAGGGAGGGAGGGCAGATACGTGTATGCGCCCACAGCCACCCAACAGACGGCAGCCTATTCGAGCAAACCAGTGCGAGTTGAAACAACATCCTGAATTCACCAATAGGCATCTACATACATACTTACATCTCTACAACTACTAAAACAGCGATGAACTGGATTATGGAGATAAAATGAGATACTGGTGTTCATTATCAACCGAAGCAAATCCCCCCCCTGACCAGAACCCCCCTTGGTGGGGTGCCGCCTGGATTAAGGCATCAGCGGTAGGAGCCGGGGCTGTAAAGGGTTTCGCGAAACACAATGGACCACTACAGCAGTGTGAACATGCGAACAAAAACATATCTGTTCGGCGTGTATATATCACAGTCTGTTTTTACTAGATATACTCTGTTGAGTATAAAATACTGTCGCGAAGCCTCCATAGCGGTATTATACTGGCCCGTAGCAATTGGGGCCGACTTTCGACCACAATGGCTTAGGTGTATATGCCAAAGTAAACCTCGCCCGTTTCTTTGGAACCCTTAACTAAGAGATATGGATAATTCAGCTGGTGGAGTTGAATTACTAGTGAAGATATCATTTTAAGCCTTCAACAAGCGCTGCTTCAAGAAGGTGTCTTGGCGGCCGAGTGATTGCTCTTGAAGCAGCTGGCTTGGCCATGGCGGAGACTAGGAACAACTCCAATCGTGCCCTCACATAAGCTAATGTAGATCTACCCGGACCTCTCAGGCACGGCTGGCGCAAATCAGGTACGTGCGTACTGTGACTACATGATAGATTAAATTGAATTTGTCACGGCAATTCTGGGGGCGGAAACCAGTCGTCTTATATACGGAATGCTAGTACATATATTGATTGATAATTTAGGCTATTTCCACACAAAGCCATCCTTCCACCTCTCGCCAATATATATAAAGTACTCGAGCAGCGGGTTCAGGGCTGTTGGTTTTGTTTCTACATTGGTTATCTATATATGGGAGAAACAATTAATACGGCATAAAGCCCGCCGGCAACGTCCCAAACAGAGACTTATAGTAATAAGAGTATTGTTTATCAACCATTGACCAAGTTCATAAACACAAAACCCATCTAAAACAACAGCATACAACCCCACAACGACATTCTAGAGCCTCCAACTTACCATGGTACGCAGAGAGACCCGTCTGTGTCAATGCAAGACCCAATTTCTCCGGGCCACCCAAATACCTGACCCATCCCACCCATCCCCCAACCGTGACCCTACAAGGTCCAAATAACCGCCCCATCCCTCCCTCCCTCCCTGCCCCGACGCGTTACCCTCGCCCTCGCCCTCACGTACAATCCACGCTCCGCCTGGGGGGTTATCAACAATTTCACCCCCCCCCCCCCCCCCCCCCCAAAAAAAAAAAAAAAAAAAAAAAAACGCCTCTTCCAGGCTCCCGCATGCTCTTGTGCGACAAACAAACACACTGCATATGCAGCGGTGTATACAATCAATAGCAAACCGGCCCTTCAGGTGTGTTTTAGTCACTGTGGGGGCCTTCCGCAAGTCTCTTTATCTTCAGCCAGGGCCCAAAAAAAAAAAAAAAACCTCAAACGCCTTGAGTTTTCCCCAGGAGCTGAAACTTTGCGGCTTCGCGGGTCCGCTACTCGAATGGGGAATCTATGGAATTTTTTCTTTGTTACACAGGTAGATAGGGCTGACCTAGACCTAGGGAAGAAGTGTCCAGAAGAAAACACACTTGCAGATGGGCGGATGGGGGCGATGAGGGTACATATCATTACCAGAGGATTTCAAAACATCAACAATTGTCAGCCACCGCAATAACACGAGCAGCCATTCATCAGCTTAAGCTTGGGGTCAATCGGTTCTCGCCATATCATTCATACAATACTACATGTACAATAAATAAAACAAAAATACTGCTTTGATCAGAGTAGAGTAGAGCAGAGCAGAGAAAAAAAATTGGATGGTACAAAGGCTGTCGCGGTATATAAAAGAAGAAAAAGAAAGAAAGAAAGAAAAAAACAGTAAATAGATAAGCATTTACAAAAGAAAAGACAAAAAGAGTACTCCACTGACGCCCTCCTCCATCGATGATATATGCGTTGCCTCTTTTTCACGACCACCACTGCCACCACTTCGTTCCGGAAATAAAACAAGAAAGTAAAAGACGAATCCCCTCCCCGCCCGTGCCGTGTAATGATAAACAAATACAGGAGATACACAAACTGAGTTGCTTGCTCAAAAGTAAAAAGAAGAAGAAAAACCCAAGCGTCCCAGATCACTATGCGTACATAATATAGTAAGTATGTAGTTCTCTCAACTCGTGATGCGTTCGTTTTTTGCCCAAGCCCTGCTTGGTGGGTTATTCATTTGAGACATTGAACATTAAGCCCTTTCCCGCTTACTCCACTGCGCTCGATGCAAAAGTTTTCCCACGAGAAGAAAGAGAATATGAAAAGAATCGAACAAACCAACAAATAGGTGTAAACGAGTTCGCTCCTCCAAAAAGTAGAAAAGAAAGATAAAACATGAAGATCGAAGGAAAAGGTATGATAATAAAGGGACATAGGTATAGGTATACGCGTAGCTCGTACAGAACGAATATCATATAACAAATGAATCAAAATAGAAAAAAAAAAGAAAAACTCATCACAACCATGGTCGTCTTATAAAATCGTGCACTTCTTCTTCTTCTTCAATTTCTTCTGGCCATGACCCACCGCCATATCCATTGCCAAGTCGAATACCTCATGTACTCCAATCATATCCTTACTACTACACTCCGCGTACCGTGCACCCATCCGTTTCGCAACCTCTTCTCCCTGTAGTTGCGTTACGGGCGTCATTCCGTGCGTTTTGAGAAGTTCAATAACGTTTCTGTTTTTGCGAAGATCCGTCTTGAGACCGACGAGGACAACTGGGGTTGAAGGGCAGAAATGGAGAACTTCGGGGTACCACTATGAAAGAAAATGCATTAGCCAAGATTTTATATGCAGATCTGCAAACTCAAGGAGCGCAAATTACCTTGTCTAAAACGTTCTCAAGGCTATGCGGAGAATCTATCGCGAAACAAACAAACAGGACGTCGGTTTCTGGATATGATAGCGGTCTTAAGCGATCGTATTCCTCCTGCCCGGCTGTGTCCCATAACGCCAACTCAACAATCTTCCCACTGGCTTCATGTGTTTTATGCGTAATGTAATTCTCAAAGACAGTAGGTACATATTTCTAAATAACAGTCAGTTTAATGTCACGTGGATTGCAAAACAATTGCGCGATAAGCGATAAACTTCGTCACATGGAACAAAAGGGGGCGCACGAACCTCCGGGAAATATCCTTGTGAATAGGAGATCAGGAGACATGTTTTTCCACATCCACCGTCACCGACAACGACGAGCTTTTTTGAGTACGAGGGAGTTACTCCAGGGGTTGTCACGCCCGTTGAGCGTGATGTTCGTGAGACTATTGTTGATGGGTCCGACATCATGGAGGCAGGTGTTCCGCTAAAAGGAATTAGCCGCCATATTAAGACCGAATGACAACACAACTTACATTCTTGAATGCGCGTTCGCCCAGCTAGAAGCACTCATTGTGATCAAATGCTGGACCGGAGCAATAACAGAAGGGCAGATGGGATGGGGTGAAGCCTGGTTCCTGAGCTAGCTAGCAAATAGAACGCGGGCTAAAACGGGTGATATAGCTGAGACGAGTCCTTCGCGGTCGATGGCAATTGTGTTTCGTTTATGTCGGGCTAGTAGAATCTAATGACTCAAGAAACGGGAACAAGCTGGGGTTGATGAACAAACTTCTTGATGAAAATAAACAGAAGTTGTGATGAGAGGGAGGGGTTGGTTGAGATGGTGATGATTGATGATGATGGAGGGGGAGCAGATGGGCGTTTTGAAGAAGGTTTATCCGTTGGGGCAGGTCCGCAAATCACAACAACACAACACAAGTTGGGGCGGTTGCCGCGGTAACGCCAAGGTATCGGGGGACTGAGTTGCGAACACCCACGATGCTGCAAACACCCGCAAAACTTCGGGATGTTGCGTCATATGTGCCTAAAAACAGAGATGCTAGGGATAAAATGGCAAAAAGGCTCGCGAATCCGTGTTTTCGATAGATCAAGGATTCGCTTGATTGGTTCCGAGATCGTAGATGAGACAATCACTCCAGGGAAGGAAATGCTGCAACCCTTGTCAAACATGCGGGGACGACATGTCAAGGTTGTCAACAGCGACCTTCCTCGACCTTTTTTTTGTTCTCGTGGATCAAACATTGGGATGTGTTGATTGAATTGCAAATAGTTTATGCAGAGAAGTGGGGTAAGGACACCATTACCATGGAAGTTGAAGAAACAGCTGGGTTTGATGAAAGTTCCATGATGTAAACATTATAGAGAGACTCGCTCTGTTATGGATATAAACATCGTACTTATTCTCACCAAGTCTGGGCACCGATACATGTATATCCCTCCTCGCACAATAACGCGCTGTTACACCAGTATCAAAATAGTAGAAAAAGAGAATTTCAGCAGACCCCTTGACGGGCCGCCGTCGTACAGGCTTGCATGGGCTGTGGAGATTCTAACGGTATATGGATTTGCCTAAGCTAGGGCGGCCGCAGTTTGCAGAACCCAGGCAGACTACATAGTACTAAACTGGTGCGGCGCAATATCACTTGACAAGCATTTGACGTCCGGAGGATGGATGTGACGTAAATTTTCCTGGCTTTATTCGAGCTTGGCTTGGTAGAATTGCACCACTGGATCATTGATCCATCACAATGCAGGTCACAAATCCAATCACCGACCGTCACTCGACAATGCCAAGATCAACTTATAGTGTTGTAACCCCCAACGTCGCTCGTATCGTAGTAGACCGACTTAGAGATTCACCAGCTTCAAGCAGCGAAGAAGTCGAGTACGAGCATTACAGGCTGGATTTTACCTAGATGCACTGCTCAGTTTGCGTAGCCCGAATACCCCAATGCTCGTGAAATAGTGAGGACAGTACTATACTCCGAGCATGAAGTATAAACCCCAGACACAAGTCCCATTTTGGCCATCCACTCTAACTGAATTGATATAGGGAGTTGTGCATCGTAATACTACATGTATGTAGTGAGCCGACACTCTGCGCCCCGAGCACTGATATTTTTGTCCCCGACAATATATGTGGTTGTTTTAACTTTAGATCCAAGCTAATCAAGGGTTCATGACGACATAGGTAGCGTAATTCACTATAAGTACCAGTACTTGTACGACTTTGGGTTAAACCATCTGTAATTTACTTCGTAGCTAATATGTACACGAAAAAAAAAAAAGGCTATCATCTCCTCACACCCGTACCGCCAGCACTGTCAATCAATTCGTCAGAACCCTTCTCCAGCTCCCCCGTCCGCTTCATTCCCTCGCTCTCAATTCTCTCTGGGACCCCAAAGAGCCTATCCATGTCCTCCAACGTAAGCCCTTTCGTTTCCGGTACGTAGAAGAATGACCATATTCCCATTAGAATCATCAACGCTGCAAAGAAGAAGTAAGTTCCATAGCCGAGACTCGTAATCATGTATCTATATTTATTATTAGTAAAAAAGTTTCTAACATTTGAATGATTGCAGAGCGGGGCTTTACGGAGTCGAGCGAGATATAATAAAAGACCAGAGCCATTGGTCGGCTGTAGTTATGGCAACACTACCACGGTCTTAGCATTTATTCTTGGAATTCAGATGGTAGCTACATACCAGAACATACGAATACCCATTGGGAAGATCTCGGAACAGTACACCCAGGTTGTTCCCTGCCAGGTCATACAATAAATCTACAATGCAGCAGCTACAAGTCAGAACTCAATACTTTGAAGCTAGCGAGGGGAGGGGGATACGCACGAGCCCATAGAGGTATACGCAAACCATCGCAAGATATCCCCAACCACTCTGGGTGAATTTTCCTTCCGCAGCTGCTGTTTCGGGGTCGGCTTTCATAACATATCCTCCAATATACCACATTGGAATACTACCCACAAAGGCGCCATAAATCAAGGCCTTTCGTCGACCAACTCGTTCAACTAGCCAAACAGCGAAAATCACCATCCCGAGAGTTTTAGCGATTCCGTAACATCCCGTCGCAAATAACTTTGTTGAGGTTCCTGTTAATCCAAGAGTTTCAAAAATACGAGGCGAGTAGTAGGTAAGAATCTTCTTCATGTTAGCAAATGCGATTAGGTCTGCTATCGGATTAACAGGAGAACAAACATTAACACCAGTCAGATTCTGACAAGCCATCAATAATAGTCCAATACCAACACGGTTTCTGTTCCCCTTAAGGGTCATCTCTTTGAGATTCGCTTTTAGAGAACTCCCTCCTGACTTGAGCTGCTCGAGCTCAATCTGCTCCTTAATCCCAGCGAGTTCTTCCAGAATATATTCATGATCGCCTGGGAGGTTCCGCAGCAAAACCAAATTCTTCTTGGCCTGATCCCAGTTATCCTTCTTACAAAGCCAACGAGGTGATTCGGGGGCAAAAAGGGACACAACGAAGAAAATAGCTCCGGGGGCCAGTTGGAGTCCCACAGGAATGAGCCATTGAGTTGGGCCGGCAGGGTCTATGGTTCTATCGACGATGTAATTGATCCAGAATCCCTGACGCATTGTCAGATCATCTCATACGTTGCACATAATGTGGGGTAAATTTTACCAGCATCCCACCGGCTTGGCTTAACACTTCGAATACTCCTACCAGTCTTCCGCGAATACTTGGTGGTGAGGTTTCGGCAATATAAACGGCTTGGTAGCATCAGCTTGGGTTACACGAGTGTTTCGTTTCGGGGAAATGACTTACGAACGATCAATGATGCACCACCAATTGCAAGGCCAGTTATTGCTCGGCCAGCATAAATGAGTGGCAGCATTCCAGATGAAGCAGTCTACCTAGAATGTCAATCTTGTTTCCTCTCTCTCTCTCTCTCTTTTTTTTTAAAAAAAAAAGATTTGTGGCACACACCATCAAGGCTGCACCAATGCAAAAAATCAATGACGACAGGATCATCCCTTTTCTGCGTCCCCATCTTTCGACAATTGGAAAAGTTATGAGCGACCCCACAACGCATCCAGCTTGAAATGTTGACACAATATTCCCTGGGGGAGAAAAGTGTTAGATCTTGGAATTATGATTTAACTCCCGGAAAATTTCGGTACACACCCGATAATGTGTCACGTTCATGCTGACTTTGGACATCTAGTCCAAAATCCCGCTTTTGGTGAAACAAAGTTAGCCAATTTACGAACTTTTAGATTTTCGACAAGAAGTGGGGAATACCTTGAAAGACACCAGCGCCTGGGTGCCTCCTATAAATGCAGTATCGAATCTTTGCAATACAGAATACTTTGTTAGCAAAGTTGCCGTCTTCGTTGTATGGTCACAGGCTTGTCTAACCCTACTGCTACAGCAGACATCGACACTCCAAAGCCTTCACATAACCACCACGAATCAGCGATAGTCCAGGAATAGTCATAGCTGCGATATACTCACCCAGTAGGTGAATTTTCCAATTCCTAACCTCCTTCGGGTCGTTGGTATTTTCTGCGTGAAACATAGTTCACAGCTAAGGCTATAATTCTGCCTCGAGTGATAACTAGTAGTGAAATTGAACCTTGAGGGACGGGACGCAATACCGAGGCGAGTGTGGCTATGTACTGACAAGGCTTCCATAAATCTGGGGGAGCGAAGCTTTTTAAAAGCTATTTCGCCTTGTTAAGCGAGTGGTCGTAAGTGTTTTACCCAGGAGTGCACGCATCAATTGACCATAACGGCGAAATTGCATCTCTAAGGAGAACTTCGAGACGGGGCCATGCCCGCTCAATTGTGTGGCCGGTATGCTTGTTTTCCTTCTGTCTTTCTCGCGAGTAAAACCTGCATAAAGTGCGGTAGATGGCATCGCAATCATCACGCGGGCCCAAAAAGCGAGCAAAAATTCGGATACCTGCAGTGGTCGGTGATCTACAATGTTGTCCCGATTCTAGATAGGATCAACATGCTTAATGCGGGGTTCTCTCCGTTCTTACCAGAATAGCCCAGGTGTAGCCGCTTGCTAACCACTCCACCACTCAGAGACGTAGCCTGCCCTGACCAATCTACTAAAGATGACAATTACTACGCCTGTTGTTGTCAACAAGGCTGGTAATCCAAATAATTCATTTATTAGCTCCGTAGACACTTCTTTCTTCTCTCTTGAGGGCTTCTCCTAGAGTACTCCAACTGTCTGATCTAGCTCTATGAAATCTATGCCAAACTTTTATCAACCGGAAATCTGGGCCGACTATTCTCCTCTCCACATATCGTGTGTGCCTACTTTGCGGGGTTAAGGGCTTCCCTTCATCTCTTTGCACCATCGGTATAAAGTCGTATAGATAGGGAAAAAGGCCTAACTAAGAGAACCAGTAGCGGAGCATCTCCGCTCAGTGCCGTTCGTCAGTTTCCCTCTTGGCAGATATCCCATACAATGCGGGGTAACTCGGCTATTGAGCGTCTGGGGATCTTTCTAACCGTTTTCCGGGGTTATGAAAAGCTTAACACGCTCTTCACTGACAATCATAGAATAAAACAAACCGTACTGAGCTAGCCAAGACTATTATTATTCAAACATTACTTTCTTCGGAGGCGCCTCCGATGCATATCGACGACGGTACCCTACGTCCTGTAGTGGAGGTTCGGATCGAGCGGAACTAGCACTGGCGGCCATGATTATTTTATCAAAAACTCTACTTTCGCCTCTACTACATACATACAAATATTTGGTATGGGTTCCTTTTACTAATACCGATGGCTATCTCAGATACCATCTGCAGCCTTTACCCGCAATCTAAATCTACCCGCTCACTGTCAAAGTTGAACGAGGAGATCACTCTCGTTCGATTACTTTGCCGCCAGTTGTAATCAATGGCCGGCCGGCCCTGACTTCGATGATGCGACATTTTATGGTTTAATCTTTTGGCACATACGGACAGAACTCAACTACTTCAACATGGTGGTGCGAGGATTTTACAATTTGGGCTACATGGGAGGCGGACTCGATTCCGGGACCACCTTCAGAAAATCACTTTCAATTGATGAATACATACTTCAAATTGCTTGTAGGAGGCAAACAAATGGATTAGAAAAACAAAATCTCGATGGGAATTCATAACTCAGGACAATGAGTTGACGGCCGCTCGGCCGCTCTCGAGAAAACTATAAGCACGTTTGAGGTCTGGATCAATTCCACGTACGAGATTTTCAACAGTAAAAACCTGTTTTCATCAATAACAGACTCGGAGGTCCTCCGTGTGGCGGTCACTAACAAGCTATTCGATTCATGTGAATATTTTGTGGGTGGAACAGACAATATTGACCAAGAATTACCCATCATCCTCCCAAGGAACCGCATATCGACCTTTTTTTATTTGTTTAAGATGAAGTCTTGGTGATAGAGCTACCGCACCCTCCAATTCCTAAGTAATGTCAATGATACCCCCCAACAACGCCGTTGAGCTTTCGATCCTTCGCATGCGAGTGATCTTACATGATCCAAAACACCGATCGAAGCATATAACAGATATTGCTCCATGAAATATTTCGCCACCATTCTTCGGAGATCTAAAGGCTTTAGGAAAGGGTAATTTTGGGTAACGATAGGTAGCTGCGTGGCACCTGTTGAAACAAGCCCGCCAAGATGTCTCATTCATTACCCTACGTTATTGAGTTGACCTCCGTGGTCTTCAAATTTCTTCTGTCAGCCGCTTAGACGGCGCTCAATGGCCCAAATCAAGAAAGTATTCCCGAACCTATAATCACACAAGAGAGAGTTCAGCTGTTTGGTTTGGTCTATATACTAGATCGGGCGGAAATAACACACACACACACACACACACGTCAGGTGCTGACACGCTTCTACTGCTTAATTCTTGATTTACGTACTGATCAATGGAGCCATGTATAGGCCAAATTAATTACGGGGAAGAAAGATTTTCCCACAGATGCAGTGGTCTATCAAATGAGTGTTTCCACGAGAGCACGATAGTAGAGTACCATGGTGATTGGTTGCATGTGCCTGCTAGATCGCCCCGTATAATTTATGCATATGTTACCGTAAATGTAACCGTAACGGAGAAAGAGGGAGGGAGAAAGAGATAAGCGGTTGCCAATAGTGATACCTTTCGGAGGTCATACTAACACCACAAACCTTATTGATGGACACATGAACCTGAGACGAGCACATGTGCGATATTACTCAGACCATGGTTCAGCAAATCATGATCGACAAGCTCGGGCCTCGGTGCATAAACTTCCTCAGAAGTGCATTGTAAACCTGTGGTACAAAGTACAGGCTTCAATTTCTTAATGGCGGTGGTGGGATCGCACCCACGTGTATATAAGCGTAATACAGCTTTCGTGCACAATATACTCATCATTTTGAGAAGTTTCAACTGATCTAAAGCGATAGATAAATTACAAACCGAATGATATACACAGGTTATAAAATGAGCATTTATCCAGAAATTTCCCAAAAGGATAGGAGAAATTTCCTTCTCCAAAGTCTTGACATATCAGCTTTCAATCAACTTTTTTAAAATGGTGATTTAGCACTTATCCGTACTTAGAGGATTTGAGAGTTACCATACCTATGCCAGAAAGTACACCCTTCTGATTTGACCTGCTCATTTTGCGAATTCAGACAATATGAACACTTGGCTAGATATCCAAAATCTGAGCCCACGTGGTCCTATCCCATATCCATGGTGAGAGGACTACCCAGAAATAATAGGTGGCTGATATAATGACCACCATCCTCATGGGACTCTTATCGCCAGCCTGAGCCACACAAGACCAGCCTCTTCATAGTTAATCACTCGGTCATATATTTGATGCTAGTTGCCATACGTATTTTCCTCTAGATCTTCGGTGTCAAATATATCCCATGTGTCAAACAAAAGAAATCGCGGGCCATCTATAGGTGATAACCATAGCTAAAAATTGTTTGTTCAGATTTACTTATCTCTTCTTTCCTGGGATATGTATTGGGGGGTGCGTTTTAGCTAGCGGACGGCCGCTGTCAAATACTAACCTCTACAACCCAGGTTTAGGGAAACGTACATACATGTAACTATCCGCCTCAAACCAGAAATAATTATCTTTTTGGTCTTAAAACATAGCAATCAATCAATGTACCAAATAAATTATTTTTATATAGACCAGTATCAGCGACGATGTAGGTCTATCTTGACTAACGTTAACGCACACCATACCGTATTTCACTAAGCGGCAGTTGAAGCAGGTTCAATACATGGAAACAGGCACCTAGTCTTCCGAAATATCATTAGATGATAGATCAGCTTACACTTTAAGATGATAAGTACATCGGTATCTACTAAGCAGATAAAAGGTAAAGTATCTCTCCGCCCGATCTTGATATGGGCCATGGAAAATCAGGTGGAAAATATTAATAGAAACGTCAGTGGCGAAGACTAAATTGCTCAAATCTGAGGAGATGGGACGTGGAATTTGGCCGCTAATGTATACATATTGGAAGATAACGGCTCAAGATATGAGCCCTACTACCGTCTTTGAAGAGACCACCTCTTGCCTTCTGGTCGGTTCACTCACATAATATCACTCGGTATAAATCCATCTTACAGCCCGATCTTTGTAATTTTATTTTATTTGTCAATTAATTACATCCTAATATTGTGTGAAAGGAGGCAACGCTATATAGTAAAGATGGAACTGTGCTAAGAGCTCGTTATAGATTATCAGCCCATACTTTAAAGAGAAATCTCTAGGTGTATCTCGGTTCAGCCCTCCTTTCTTTGCACCAAGTGCATGTATACTCATAGCTCATGTACCATTACTTTCTACCGTCGGTCACAGCTCAGTGGTAATGCTTTTTGAATCTCTGTTTTACGCGGCTTATTTGCTTCTAAAGAGGGAGAAAAAAACTTCTTTTACTCGGGTTCATGAAACCCACGAAACGAAACAGCTAGCCCTTTTTGGGGGAAGGGCAATGTAGCAAGTGCAATATTTAGACCTGACCAACGCACACGTAAACTCCAATGAATAAGCAAACGATGATCAAGTTTAATACATCAGTATATCATGTACTAAGGAAATACCTCTCCACATCCAGCTAGAGTTAGATCCGCAGGTCTATCTAGCCAGGAGAAGCAGCAAATCATCAAGGCAAAGTATGCAGTGCAGAACCAAGAGCTAATGTAACAAACACTTCACGCAACACCAAAAAGCAGCAAAAAGGAGATCCGGTAGGAATGAACAAACTACCTAAATATTCACATAAAACCATCTGCATAACCACAGCGTTATTTCTGTTATTTTTTTCCCCTCGTTTTTTCTCGCGCCTTATCAACACCAACTGCTCCTCCAACTTACCAAATCGTACTGTTTTAAAGAGCAAAAAATATGCCAACCCTTCCGCCAACCTGCCCACCCGCGAACCGCATCGTTGATATAATGAGATGGAAACAAAAGGAGAGAGATATAAGAAATAAGGAAAGAAATTCAGCAATACCGTACCCCTCCAAGACCAAGACCGAACCAATTAAGGAAAGTAACTAATAAAAATTCACAAACAAAACCTAGCCCCGTTAATTGTGCAACTATGATGATAAGGAAAGGGTGAACAGAGTAAGGAAAAATGCAAAGAAATTAAGTTCCCAGATATCGTAAAAATATTGTCCTGCAAAAAAAAAAAAAAAGGCATAGTAGCATAGTGTGCCAGCTTCAATTGATCTATCTCATTTGTACAGCATCCTCATTTAATTCTTCATGGTGTTGTTGATGGTCGTGATCACCATCATGATGTAAAGTGACTATTTGAGCGAACATATTAGCACTCGTCTTCTAAACTTCTAAATGATGGGTGGTAATAGTCCACATACCAGAATTGAACTCCTCAAAAGGATCGAAGTCCTTCTCGCCGGGTGTTTCAAGATCGCTTGAGAGCGGTACTCCACGCACCCTGGCGGCGCCAATATCAACACTTTCACTCTCTTTCACACTGCGGAAGTTCACTGCATCAATGCCCTTCCCTTGGTTTGGGACCATTGGGGGCCTCATATGACGCAATAGAGCCCACTGTGTTGACCTGAAGAAAGCATGTCCTTTGACATCTGATGCACCGGCACGAGAACCCAATCGGCGGTTTTCGTCCTTTACAAGTAATTTGCGTATTAAAGACTTGCAGTTACTACAAACAAAAACCCGGTTAATTCCGAACAATATAGAAGTTTGAACGAGACTTACTTTGTTATTGAGGGCGAGCCTGGGTGCTCCGGGAAACCAACTTCATCCCTGAGGATATTTGCAAAAGTCCCATTTCGGTTTTTTCCTTTGAATGGGGTAGTTCCATACAACATCTCGTATACCAATATACCGAGAGTCCACCAATCCACAGCACTAGTATGTCCATTACCCTTTATTACCTCTGGCGCGATGTACTCCTCAGTTCCAACAAACGAATTTGTTCGGAAATTAGCAATGCAGGATTTTGTATCGATCGCAGGGAGTGAGTTTTGAGAGGCTCCTCCCCTAGCGACAATCATGGTTGGCACACCACCAGGCTCTGACTGTTTTGACAAATCAAAGTCTGACAACATGATATGTCCAGACTGATGCAACAGAATATCTGGAATATGAGTCAGCACGGGTCAGCAGTGTGCGGAACTCATGTAGACATACTTTCCGGCTTGAGGTCTCTGTAAATGAAACCCATCAGATGCAGGTACTCTAAAGCTGCGGTAACTTCCGCAGCATAAAACCGCGCATCGTCCTCGAGGATACATTTTCCAGGCCGCGTTTGCAAAGCTGTAGAAAGTTAGCAAGACAACCCGTTTGATCCTGCCCCCATGTTGAGTAAGCCTCACCTCTGAAGAATTCGCCACCACTGCAGTACTCCATGCACAGGTAGAGATGATCCTCCGATTGGAAAGAATGGTAAAGGGTGACAATGAACGGATGATTACTGGTAGCCAGAATCTCCTGTTCGGCCAATGCCCTTTTGATCTTATTCCTCTTGATCATTTCCTTTTTACTCAATACTGCGGCCAATAGTTAGCCAAATAAACCCTTTCCCAAGAAACACTGGAGAAAAGCAATCATGCTAACCCTTCATGGCATACAGCCTATTACTCTTCTTCTCCCGTACCAAATATACCTTCCCAACGTCACCCTTACCCAACAACTTGATCTTATCGAAGCTCCCCGGCCCAACTTCCACATTCCTTACTTTGATTGAGTTCGAGCTATACGTCCTCCTGAATTGTCCATTCCTAAGCCGCTCCGGTATCGCCTCGCCAGCCCCTGGCACAAGTAAGTTCGATGTCGACGTACTCCTCAGCTCCCCCGATCCATTACTGAGTGGTGATGACGCGGCGGGCGAGTAGTTCAGCGACGGCGGCTTTCCCCCTTCCTCTGTCGCAGAATCCGGCCGATTCCCCTTACTACTATCACCGGATGAGAATAGACCCTGAGCATTTGGAGCCGAAGCCACCCGCCTCAACTTTCGTGCCAGCTCCTCCTTGTTCGCCTGTAGCTGCTGGTCATTTGCACCCGATACACCGATGCTGATACCCGGCGGAGACAACGACAATTCGGGCGTTTCCGGGGGGGATGGAGGGGCACTCCCTTCATTATGATGTCTGAGCGCCGGAGGGCCCTGGTGGGCAAAGTACGGATTCGCGTTCGCTGTGGGCGAGATTTCAGCATGATCCAGCTGGCTGGCCGATGAAGTAGATCGGCCTCTTAGGAAACGGGATTTAGGGCGGAGCGAGCTGCCGAGATTAGAGGTATGGAGCTCACCACTGGACGACGCGTTACTGTTACTACCAAGACTATTTATTCGGAAGAAATTCTTGAGTTTTGTAGGGAAATGAGAGGAAGAAGAGGATGAAGATGAGCCGAAGCGGCCGCCGCTTGAGCCAGGCGATGAGGGAGTCTTCCGCTCATTGTGGCCCGACGATGAACCGAATAATTGGGTCATCAGAGCAGGGGCCCGAGGTGAGAAGTTGACAGGGTCGATAGTAGCCAGTGTCGTCTCCGGGAGTGAACTGGGGGGTGTTCTAATATGTGTGTGGGGGGGAGGAGGCTCTATTGGTGGTGATGGTGTATGAGTGTCAAGAGGATTCCCAGCAGCGGAGAATTAATATTAATGCGGGGGAGAGGGGAAATTGGAGCTTGGCTTCTCCGGCCTTTACAGATAAATAATAACTGGGAAGAGGGGGAGGGGTTGTGGTAATAGTAGGTATGGGTTTGTTGGAGATCTGTGCTGTAAGTGACTGGTGGTGGGTGGTGGTTCAGAGGCTGAAAGGGACGTTGGTTGCCTGTCTGTGGTACGGGAGGGAAGGCAGTCAGATTTAGAGTGACTATGCCTATGTATGTATATATGTACGCTATGAACCGCAGCCTGGGGAATGAGCAGACGAGTGAATGGTGGTGGAGTGTGGCCGGAGGGTAGCGCAGCGGGCGATGATGGGGATGTGGTGGAATGACAGACAGTTATTGGGGGTGGGGAGGCTGATGTGGTAGGTGAACAACAACGACGCAGGTATAAAACTATGTATACCGTGCGCAAATTAGACGGCGTTGAAATAGAAAAAGTTGGGTTGAGTTGATTGAGAGGAAAGAGGGAAGAAGAACGAGGAAACAGAAACGGAGGCAGTTACTCTCGGACAACGGAGAGAGACCACAAACTTGGGCTACACAAAACTGACTGACAGCCAGACAAGACTGACAGGGAAATATTTCTTACTAGCAGGGTAAACACACAACCGTTCCCTCGTATGACGCAGAAATTATTATGGCTAAGTTGCTGTTGCCTGTGGCAGATTATCAAGCAGGGTGGGGAGCCGCGATGGTTAACTGCTGCTTCTGTGGTTGTAGGTAGAGCAGGCAGTTGAGGCGGAGCAAGCAGAGCAGGGCAGGTGGGCGGACCAGGGAGGTGCACAGACACGACAAACAGCAGAAATGGCCGAGGAAGAGAAGGGAAGAAGGAGCAGCGTGGAACAGAACAGAACAGAGCCAGATGTTAAAAAAAGGGCAAGAACAACACACTGCGGATTGACTTCTGGAATGCAGGTTTTACTTCTACATACACGCCTGACTGCGCTGCGCGGGTTACCTAATTGACTTGATTCATTGTAAAGCGCAGAGTTGGCGATACTTGGCATTTATAGAATGGAAGAATCCATACTGTTTGCCCTCAGCCTGAAGCTCCTCCCGTAAAAGTCGCGGCAACAACTATATCCGCCAATCGTGGAGTCGATGGAGATAACAGTAGCGTCCACCCATACTCATACGGATATGTCTCCCGGTCATTCTTCTCGAGCTCATGTAAAGTAGGTAAATGATTACGACAACAGGTCCCCTTTCTTTTCTTCTAGAAAAACTCACCTCCACAACTTTCCTCTCGCGAGAACCAGCCCGCCAGCCCCTTAGCATAAAAGAGTGTGTCTATCTGGAGAGGACAACATCGCTACAACCGGTCATTTCCTTAATTCCCAAGCAACAGAAAGTTGGAACATAAAACTCTCCCCTTGTTAGACGCGCGAACCCTTTCTTCCAAGAAACGCCGAGTAAGCGACGAATCCATGCCAAGCCCGACCCGACACTCCCCCAAGTAAAGACCTTTCCCCCCATAGTTAATAACCGATTGCCGAAATTGCAGCAAAAGAAACCTTTCTCCCGGTACACAGATGCTTTGATGCAAGATGCAAGTATTCATTCGTGTTCAACCGCGTCATCAGTAGATATGATAATTTGATTTTTTGATTTTTCTTTCAATCTCAAGATCCAGAAGGGGTGGTTGGCAGCGGTAGGTGACACGAATCAAAGGGGTGATAAAGGGAACAGACAGGCTGCAGACAACCTCCCATGGGCCATAAGTGGGTCCATTTGTTGTTCCTGCGGTAGCGGCGTTGGAATCGGGATCCCGTGCTTTATTTGTGAGTGTTTCATTTCGCTCCTTTGGGATTCGTCGTTTCATTAAGGGTCAGGGTTTCATCATGTAATATCACTCGAATGCTCTGTTCAATTTGAGAAACCATTTTTGGTACTGACTTCGCGCCACATGAAATCATACAATGACAGAAGATATATACAGAAATACCATCTATCTGCTACTTTCTAAGCAAAGTCCAATCTCTCCTTTGTCCACTCTGGTTGTAAATATTTACCATCAAAATCAAACTTGAAAGAACTTGTAAACCTATCCACTTCTTTCAACTCCAGGGTCTCCAACACCACGCCTGCTTCATCCTGTGCCCAGATCGCGACACCAATTGTGTTCCATCCACCATTGTTGATGATACCCGGTGGGATCGGGAATTCGGTCTGTGGGCCAATGTGGGAGATGTATTTACCGTACTGGTATCCGTTTACATAGATCTGAACTCTGGAGATTGTTGTTTTCGGAGCACCGAGTACTATGGCAAGAGGAACATCGTGATTTGTGGGGATTGAAAGACGGAAGGTGGTTCGCTAATTTAGTCCGTTAGAAAGGTCTCCGGGTGATCATGGGATTGGGGCTACTTACGTAAAACTCGATACCAGCACCTACTACACCCTCAAGAGGGCTCTTTTGTTTCCATTTTCCATCATCGAATCCAGGCAGCGCCCAGCCAAGTCTCTCGGCCCTCAATCCACCCTCGTTATACACACCTCTCACCATATCTACCGGCGACTCACCCCCAGCATTTCCGATCAATCTCCACTCAGTAAATGTTGTGTTTCCTCCAGTCAAGCTTGCCTCACTAATCCCACGGGGGTTTCGTGGGCCATCGGGACCAACAGAGTCTTGATCGTGACCTTGGTAATCCAGCACAACGAACACTACATTTCCAGTATCGAGGAGAGTTTTGTTCGCAAATGACAAGGTGAGAGTCGCACTTGCATTTGCAGGTGATCCTGACCAAGAGCCAATAAACTCCCCGTTCAACCAAGTGCTGTATCCAAACGCGCTCCCGCCAATAGCAGTGAGTGTAACGCTGCTCGCTGTCTTGCCGTTGAAGTAGCCGCGGTAGAGTTTTATACCGGTGTGGAAGCCGTAGTCATCCGGATACAGCACCGGAAGAGTCTTCGGCTTTTGTGCATTATCTGTGGTGGTGTGATTCGCATGTGCCCATTTTGAATCGTCATAATCGACTAGACGCTCCGGGATCGAGTCGCTGAATTTCCACTTAAGACTCTTCAGAACGGGAAGATTGTAGCTGAGTGTTTCAGGTCCGGCGGCGGTACCAACGAGAGAACCATATGAGGTGCGTTTAATGTCGGATGGGGTCCTGCCGTTCCACTTAAAGGATTTGATCTTCTTGGGAGCAAAAACTTCAATAGTGGATGTTGAGTTTAGATCACCTCGGAGCTCTGCAACCGATCCCTCGAGGGTGGCTGAACGAACAAGGTAAGGTCCTGATACAAGAAGCTGTTCATCGGCATGGACATTAGGGTTTAAGGTGAGGGCTGGAGCCCAGATGTTCCAGCCTGTGATGCGGTCGACAATTTGAATGAGAGGACCGTTAGGGAACTGAATGAATGAGGAGCCTCTGGCTTGAGTATAAGACACCCGTGTATGCTTGGTGAGTGTTAGTATGGTGTTACGATCTGACTGGATTGAGAATTCTTACCTTTGTAAGATATGTTTCCGTAGTAATCGCAGCATCTCCAAACACTTTCGGAGCAGCGATGATATCCTTAAGTACAAACTCCACAGTTTGACCCGCATTTGCATAAAGAATCAAAACCGGACTATCATCAATGATAGCAAAGGTCAAGACCTCGGCAGACGAATACAAGAGTCCGTATTTTCCAAAGGTATAATCAGTGACAATAAACTTGCTCTCTCTGCCATCAAGCTGAATATTCGGAACGACTAAATTTCCAGCACTCGTCCCAACATTCAGACCGAACTTTACCACGGTTCGGGAACTTGAAGTGTTTTGATTGACCCAGTAAAATCCAGCATTGGTTGTCGGGTTTCGGTTATGAACTGTGTAAATTGCGGTGTTATTGGTGAACCTGTGTTTAAATCAGTAAATCTGCGTCATGGATTATCACACGGGTTTGTTTTGCATACGTAGTACCGTTACCAAGCTGATTTGTTTCCCGAAGATCGGTACTAACTCTGAGGAATAATGTCTATAGTATATTGGTAAGTTATTTCTTATATAGTTGCCTGTATAGGGTAGGGATTTATACCAAGAGTTTAATTTGGCGCATCTTGTCGCGGACAATACGGGACTCGGTCAATGGCGCTCCATAGTCATAAGACGTATACACTACAGGTGCAGCAACACTCCCCCAGTTGGTTCCGCCATAACTAAAATCAACCAGGGAATCAGCTCTTAGTTCCCACCAGGGATTTGATGACTACATACGTCATGTAAAGACTAATCAGTGAGACCTTCTGCGCGACTAATGTCTTGTAAAACACGTCCGAAAACTCGTTACCAGTGAGTTGTGCGCAATTTTCAAAGCCATAACCTCCCCATCTGTAAAGAAGTACAGGTTAGATTCAATCCCAACCGGAACAGTAGAGTTATTGAGATACATACGGATCAAAAGCGCCTCCTTGGTATTCAGGAACATATGAAGGCTGAGTTGGTGAGTAGTTATTAAACCCTGTATATCGGATGTTTTAGCACGTGGACTTGTTCGTGGAACTTCTCAGAGAAAGACTTCATACACTGGTAGTAGGTCTTGACAATGTTGAATCCTCCAGTTGGGTTGGCGCAGTTGAATCCGTTGGGATATGAGTCCAAGCCATAGATATCTAATCCAGGTTAGGTTTCACCCTCAATTACTAGCCTTTGGAGATTGAGTTCGTACCAACTGAACCGCCAACATCCAAGTAATCCGTGGACCAACTTTGACCTCGCATTCCCTTCTCGTTGTGTCTGAATCAATATTAGTTAATCTGCTTCCCTTTTTAAAATAGCCACCACTTACGTAGAAGGAATGACAACACCTGCGTTTTGAAACGCTTCGTCGATTTGGACCATATACTTCACACCCGTCCAATTTGGATCATGATAAGACTCGACGAATTCACTATACAATGTCAGTAACAGGCTACTTCTCTTTTACACGGAAAATAGCATACTTCTCGTGTTGATTCAGAATAGCCATTCCTCCCTCTACGATCGAATTCTTTGCAAAGATCTTCCCTACCTCCGTGATAAATGGTAACCACGCCTCATGGTACTTCTCGTCATCGGTCCTGTGTATACCCCATGCGCCGGTAGTGGTCCATAAAGCTACTCCGCCTGCACTAGTCTCAGCATTAATATAAGGCCCACTTCTCGTAATGATCCAAATTCCAGCCTCCTTCGCGTAGTCGAACAGCCTCTGAATATCCAATGCAGCCGTGGTGAAATCGAGTGTATCAGGATTCGGAGAATGGTATGCCCAGAAGAAATAGATTGACACAGCATTAAAGCCAGTCGCTCGGAGTTTCTGAAAGATGTCGAGCCACAGCTCAGGGACAGGAAGACGCGGGTAGTGAAATTCACCCGCGAATACGTAGACTCGCTCGCCGTTTATGTAGAGGGAGCTGCGGTCCCACTCGACGAGGTCGGTTTTACCTATAGCGTGTCAATTATGAATCACATTTGAGCATAGGTATTTAGCAGCTACCATTGTTCTTTTGCGCAGAAACTGAGGAGGCGAGCAAGCTACTCGCAAGCACGAGATGCGCGAAGACATTGAAGAACCTCATCGCGGAAAAAAACTCTTTTCCAAAGATACTTCCAACGCCGCGTTGCAGGGCAAATCCTAAGGGCTACTGTCTAGGTATTTATTAATACCAAAGACATCCAGATAAGGTTTCTTTTCTTTTCCTTTCTCCCATATTAATTGCATTCTTTGAACTATATCATCATCCGATTGTCCACAATGGTTTTTTCTCTTTCCTTTTCTTGCTTTCGGTTCTCATCAGCCCGAACAATGTACGGATAAATTGATAGAAAGAGGAGAAATATCACGAGAAAGGTACGCCGTTGCAACATTAATGCGGGTGCCAGGGAGGGTCGATATTAAATCCTGGGGTAAATGACGATTTTGGCTTTAAGAGGAGTGTGTCGCCGAAGATCTCGTTCTCGGTTCCGGGTGATGGTGAGAATTTAGAGTAAGATGCTGCAGATGATGTACCATTTCGGCTATTTTGAAACGATCGTGGACCCGGTATTGATGGCATGGATTGACGGTCGACCGGGAGTGAGCTTCGAGGAATC